CGGCGCTGGAGGTTGCAGGGTGCCCGTCCCGGCCGCACTCGTTCCTCTAGTGCTGCGCGATGGAAATCCCGACCAAACACATGGTGTGCTTGACTCCTGAGGTTCTGCAGCAGTATAAGAACTAGTGCTGCCACCTCCCACCGTTCACCGTGCGCAGCTAACACCCTCGCTCTTGCTCCTCAATCCAGAGGACTGTGTTAAATTGCTGTTATGAAGAGAGGGAAGTGGAAAGGAAATGTACTTGTGTCCATAACGAGGGAGAAAAAGTTTAGAAAAACATTAATCTGAAGTTACATATCCTGCGTGAAAATAAACCTAGCACGCAACTTCGCTATTTCACCACTAAGGAATTATAAAGTGCTCCTGCTTTACCTGAGGTGCTTTGAACTGGCCCCTGTGGGGAACAGCCCCTGGCTTGGTCACAAGCCAAGCGCATCTTGCCAAGGATTCACTTTGTCCAAGCTCCAGACTTCACTGCAGGCTTAGTGCCTCCTGTTGGTAAGCTGTGCTGTCCCTTCCCACATAACGAGCTCTCTCTCTCTCTGCCAGGAGCCCCCGGTGGGGCTGTCCCGGGGCACAGGGCCCATACAGCCTGCTGTCCCACCAGGCTCCAGCGCCACGGGCTCGGGGGGGCCCTTCCTCGGGAACCAGCCTCAGGCAGCCGTCATGAAGCAGATGCTGATAGAGCAGAGAGCCCAGCTCCACGTGATAGAGCAGCAGAAACAGCAGTTTCTCAGAGAGCAAAGGCAGCAGCAGCAGATCCTAGAGGAACAGGTACAGTATCCCTCTGTCTCAAACACTGCAGTGCACGCTGGTGTAAGAGCATGAGCATTACAGACAGTGCAACACCAGCCCTTCCTTCCAGGCACGGTCACGTTCTCTCTGCAGCTCCTATCATGGTATTTCAGCAATGGTTGTCAAAGAAGAGGTATCTGTCTCAGTCCTACCACTAGCTTGGCAAATATTACCCATGTTCCCAGCAGTGGGCTTGACAGTCACTAGGGGTGGTAGGCACTGGAAAAGTTAGCTCCTAACCTGGCATCTCATGGTGTGTTTACTCCAGCAGAAGCAGACTCAGCTGCAGTTGCAGTTGCAGGTCCTCTACCCTAGCTCGAAGTATGGTCTTGCACTGGCATCATCTGTGTATGTAGTGGTCTGGGACAAAGAATGGATGTGGGTTAAAAGTAATCTTAGCAAAGAAAAGAGTTAGTATTTAACCAGAGCAGTTCCTTATCTGATGTATTGCATGCCAATACAGGCAACTAGGTTAGCACAAGGGAGAGGCAGCAGCAAGGAGGGAACCAGAGTCTGATGTGGGAGAACGGCAAAACCACCTCTTGCAGCAGCAGTTGTGGCAGAACTGCATTGGAGCTTTCAGGCTGTGCAGTGTGGATTTTGCATTACCCAGTCCCAATGTGATGCATGCTTAACTCAGCTGGAGTTTTAAAGCAGCCCGGGAGAAAGTCAGTGGAAAGTCACACTGCTCAGTTCCTGTTAGCTCATACCCAAGTTAAAAGTTGCAGTTGCCCTAACTTTACATAGATAATGCTCTGATAGGTCAGCAGTTGCTTTCATCTTGGCTTCTACTTTCTCGCTGGGGAAACATGACTTAAGAGCTGAGTTCTGCTTTAAATTGCACTAGAATATATGCATGCCATGGAACCACTGAAACCCTGATCACCTCCCCCTCTTGTGCTCCTGAGAAACAGAAACGTTGCAATGAACAGGAAGGCTGCACCTAGAAGTATTTCGGATAAAGATGCACAAATTGATTTGAGGGTGAGCAAGTGCACAAGAGTGAGGATGTACAAGAGTAGTGCATCGTGGATTGGGCCAATTCACATGCATAAAGCCAAGAGTCAGTCAGTGCCTTGGCTGCAGAAGACAAGCCTACAGAGCCATAAGGCTGAGGCTGTGGAGTGTGCTAGCAGAGATGAAAAACAGTAGTGCTCAGGCTCCAGGCTTTTGGGTGGTTTGTGCCTAACAAGATTCCCTTTTTCCCTTTGATGGTTTGTAACATGCAGTTATGAACACAGGGATCAGTACTTCTTTCTTTCCCATCTTTACTGTCCTCTTACCTTTGTTACATATCTATGTATTTGGACACAGTATTTGTATAGCTGCAGATGATGCTCCCAGACGTCCTTTTGGTAAGTGCTTAGTCCAGTATACCTTAGGCTCTGAAAACTCTGGTGAACACACTCTGTTTTTACAATCAGGCCTTGATTCCCTTCTACGGTGTTCATGAGTATTCATCGAACACAACCACAGAGGAGCAGAGTGGTCTGGATCAAGGGAGGGAGGCATATTGCAGCCACCCACTCCCCAAACACTATTCCCTGAAGCACAAGAGGAAATGTGCCTTAGTAGCCATTTCTGTTTGGGCTTGGGAATGGTCCTAGGCTGCAGTGCTTGGTCAGGATGCAGCTGAGTGCTTTGAGTGCAGAGGTGGGCAAAATTCTTGTACCAGGAGTACAAACCTCTAGACCTTGGCAGGACAGAGGGAAGAAATGTGTGTGGCTACAGTTACCCTTCGACTTAGGTGAGCAAAGTTAGTTCATATCCCTCTCTCTGCTTTCTGCCTGTCAGCAGTTAAGTCCATGCCATAGAGCTCAGGATGAAGTGGCTCTAAGTGAGGAGAGATGATGTTAACCTCAGCACTTGTTCCTTTTGAGTGAAGGAGAGCCCAAGTGCCCTCAGGAGAGCTCTTCAGATGGCTCTGCTCGGCTCCTCAGAACGGCACCAGATAAGAACTGCTGCAGTTTGGCTGCAGCACTTTTGCCTCCAGCCCTGTCCTCAGCTCACTAATTAATTAATCAATCATCTGTTTCTCTTCTGCTCTTCCCCCTCGCTTTCAGCAGTTGCAGCAGCAGTCACATTTGCCTCGGCAGCACCTGCACCAGCAGCGGAGCCCGTACCCAGTGCAGCAGGTCAATCAGTTCCAAGGTAAGAGCCAGCTCTGTCTCCTGTTGTGCAGTCAGCGCATAGCCCTGGGGCAGGTGCCTGCACGCTGACGTTTTGTGGAGCCCAGGGTCTCAGCAGTGTGCCAGAAGAGGAAGATAGGCTGCTGCACACACCGTGTGTTTTACCAAAGGGGAATGCACAGCTTTGTGCATTCAGCTAAGTTCCTAACTTCCTTCTGCTCCCTTCACTGAAAGCTGCACTTTTTTTATTTGACATTTGCTTTGCCTCTTTGACATCTGGATTCATCATGGATTCATTCATGGATTTATCTTGTTTGTCTCCACTCTTATGAAGATTTTGGATTTTTTTTCAGCTAGCATTTCTCGCTGTAGCTTGGTTTTACCCCTCTTCATTCCCCACCTTATCTAATTTGATGAGCAGAGAATTTCAGAGAGGTCATCCTTTTCTGGAGCAGTGACTGATAAATGTCAGGTGTGGAAACACAGTGAAATAGCTGAGATGTAGATAGAGATTTTTTTAATGATCTCAAAACCCCAAGTATTATTCTGATGTGCTCCCAGGTAACTATAGAATGTAAGTACAATATTTTTGGCTTAGTAAAGTTAAGTCTGAGCTTTTTAGGTGTGAAGCATCAGCTGAATGTCTTCACTAACCATGGTTTCTACACAGGCATGAAATGGACACACACTTGTGCTGTATGTTCATGATAGTGTCATGTAACTGCAACAGAGACCTAGGGAGGCAAACGGGGCAGTTGTGGTTCCCAGGACATGAACAGGCAGCCATGCCTTCCACTGGTGTATGCCAGGGTGGCTCCTTCTAATTACCTTCTCACGTTTATCTTTGGCAGCATAAGTTCTGTATGAAGTTACTTTTTCCTACTAATTCACCTGTGAATCGAAAGGTGTGTGTGCAGTGCCACGCACAGAGTGCACACACAGGCTTCCTGCACTGATGCTTCTGCAGAACCTTGCCTCCACTGGGTCACTTAAAAGAAACAGGGAAGAGAGTTTAGACTACCCTGACAGAGCAAGGAATTCATTTTCATAAGTGAGCTAATTTTAATGTATTTGTCGTGGTTTAACCCCAGCCAGCAGCCAAGAACCACACAGCCTCTCACTCACTCCCCCACCAACAGGATGGGGGAGCGAATTAGAAGGGTAAAAGCTACAAAAACTCATGGGTTGAGATAAAGACAGTTTAATAGAGAAAGCAAAAGCTGCACACACAAGCAAAGCAAAACAAGGAATTAATTCACTGCTTCCCGAAGACAGGAGGTGTTCAGCCATCTCCAGGAGAGCAGGGCCCATCACGCGTAACGGTTCCTTGGGAAGACAGATGCCATCACTCCAGATGTCCTCCTCCCCTCCTTCTTCCTCCCACCTTATATACTGAGCATGATGTCATATATGACATATATGAATATCCCTTTGGTCAGTTTGGGTCACCTGTCTCAGCTGTGTCTACTCCCAATCTCCCATGCATCCCCAGCTTCCTTGCCAGTGTGGCAGTACGGAAAGCAGTAAAGGCCTTGACTCTGTGTGAGCTCTGCTCAGCAATAACAAAAACATCTCTGCATTATCAATATATACTGAGCATGATGTCATATATGACATATATGAATATCCCTTTGGTCAGTTTGGGTCACCTGTCTCAGCTGTGTCTACTCCCAATCTCCCATGCATCCCCAGCTTCCTTGCCAGTGTGGCAGTACGGAAAGCAGTAAAGGCCTTGACTCTGTGTGAGCTCTGCTCAGCAATAACAAAAACATCTCTGCATTATCAACTCTGTGTTCTGCACAAAACCCAAACATAGCCTCATACTAGCCTCTATGAAGAAAGTTAACTCTACTTCAGCTCAAACCAGCACAGTATTTCACCATGTTTCCCTACTTAGTCACACAAATGTAATCCAGTGCAGTAGGTCACGTGTAAATGGGACCAGAGGGTGGCCCAAAATCTGAAAATCTGTTGCATCTCTCTTTTAACTGCTTCTTGTCTGATCTCCTGGCTCTTATGCCAAGCGCAGTAGTTAAGTAGTATGTGAACCACTTGCTGTTAGTGACTCCTTTGGAGCTTTTCAGCTGCCATTTTCAATTAAAAGGTAGCTAAAGATGCATTAAGAAGTTAACATTATCTGTATCTTAAGCACTTGTTGGAGTCACTGCTAATCATTAAGAAAAATCGAGGGGACCCTGGTGCCAGTCATTAAGAGAGTGGTTTGATAGCATGGGTTAAGTAAAAGCTGCCGCTGCATGTGCCCTGTTCAACTGAGATCCAGATGGTGTCTCTTCGTGCTACAAAATGTTTCATTTATCTGTATGCTGGAGCTGAAAACATCCTCCAGAAGCTTATTGTGCTGCAGCAAAAGGGAGACGTAGCCATCCTCTGCGTAATGTGCAGACACTTCCCTTGTCCATACCTGCTTCCCATGGAAACCTATGTAAACAACAGGGGCTAGTAGTCCCTACTCTCCACGGATGTTCAGGTACATTGTCTGCCACTGAGGAACGACAAACAGAAGCTGATTTAAGAGCACTGAGATTCTGTTGCACAGTTCCAAACTCCTGCAGCAACCATTTTATATTTGCACTTTGCACTGAGTAACATTTGAGCTGGGAGCAATGTGTGTCTTGTTCACTCCGAGTTTCACCTGCAGAGTATTGCATTCAGTTCAGTATGGTAGTGACTCAAAACCACAGTGAGCCCATGGCATAATCTGAGACCCAAGCAGTTGTTTTTAAGTAAAGATAGTAGATACAGAAGCATATTGGTTCCCAGAAATCAGTGGCTCCCCTGTACTCAGAGGAAGACACCAGCATGGTTCAGTTCTCTGCCTCGGTGTGGAATTTAACAAGGTTAGGATTTTCTGGTTTCCCATCACTGGCCTAAGGTGAAGTAAAATGTGCTTATGGTATTGATTCACTAATACACTCTCCCTGCTTTAAATGTCCACAAACCCCCAGTTTTTCTTCTTTCCATAGACTTAATCAGTAGCAATCTATAGAAAATCCATTCATTTATGCCTCCTGTGCTATTAAAAAATTGATTGGCCTTCTCAGCCTGACATTTCCATTTTCAAGGCTTACTTTTGAAAGACAATGGAGATATTTAAAAGAGAGCTTCAAATGGTAAGCTGAAGTTCAGCTGTTTTGCTGCCAGTGAAGAAGACTGGTGGTAGCTCTCCCATTTACTTGCTAGAGGCTGAATTAGGTGTAGCTGAAGAAGAAAAGTGCTACTGAATCACAGGGCATATGCAATTTTGAAGTCATAGGCACCTTTTTATTTTCATGGAGGAGGGTGCACATTTTAGTTGGTCCTGGGGAGGAAAAATACACACAAAAAAGAAACGCTCATATTTACACTTGACAGGGAACTCTGACTCCCAGGTGACTTTTAGAGCATTTAATCTCTAGTCCTAACAAAGTAAGAGAAAGGCCTATTTTGGCCCTGCAGCTCCTGTGGCCATCAAGCTTAGGTGCTTGATTAGGTAATTACCAGTAAGGCAACCATGGCTGTATCATGCATCACACATGCAGTCATTGTGCCTTGATTCTTCAAGAATCTGAAGTCAATAATCCCTTGAGTGCACAACCCAAAATTGTCCTAATTGAGAATTACTTGGTGAGTAACTGGCCTTTTAACCTTGCCAACCTTATTTGGGGCCTTAAGGGAAATTAGGCTACTTGTCTGCATCAATGGAATTCTCTGCTGAACAATGTCCCACTTCACCAACTGAATATACAATATGGACAGCGATTCCTGTGCAGGGGAGCACTGGAACTGCTTTGCCACACACCGTGCAGGAGAAGGCACTTGGCAGGGGAGGACAGAGGCTGCAGCCAGAGTGGGAACACGTAACCTCTGAAAGGCAGCTGACTTTAGGCAGGAAGCACATCTCCCAAGGGTGAGTAACCCTCTGGGTCTCTGTTGACCTTCACATGAAAGATTGCTCTACTCACTCAGCAAGCACAGCAGTCTGAAATCCTCCTGTGATGAGGAAGGCCCCTGCAGATTCTCTCTTAGGCAAAGATGTGTTGATTAAGATTTACAGGGTTGTGGGTTTTTCCTTACCTTCCTCCCTTTTTGGTGTAGGTTCGCCCCAGGATATAGCGTCTGTGAGAAGCCAAGCAGCGCTGCAGAGCATGAGGACGTCCCGAATGATGGCCCAGAATGCTGTGGTGGCCGTGGGGCCCCCCCAGAACCCAGGCACGCTGCCCACGACTGCGGGTCAGTCAGATGTCGGCATGGCTCCCTACGGCAACACCTCCAGCCAGCAGGGAATGTACAGCGTGAGCGCAGGGATGAGCCAAATGTTGCAGCACCCAAACCAAAGCGGCATAAACATGGCACATAATGCAGGCCAGGGAATGAGGCAGCCTGGCTCTGGACAAGCTGTGGGAATAGTTGGCAATTTTGGTCAGAACATGCTGGTAAACTCTGCTCTTTCCCAGCATCAGCAGCAGATGAAAGGACCTGTGGGCCAGGTCTTACCAAGGCCACAAGCACCACGACTTCAGAACCTGATGGGGACTGTCCCTCAAGGAACGCAGAACTGGCAGCAACGAGGCTTACAGGGCATACCTGGAAGGACTAGCAGTGAAATGGGGCCCTTCAGTAACGGCACCACGTACACCATGCAGCCTGGGCAGCCACGACTGTCCAAGCAACATTTCCCACAGGGTCTTAACCAGACAGTTGTGGACACCAGTGGAACTGTGAGAGCCCTCAACCCAGCGCTGGGGAGGCAGTTGCTGCAGCCACTGCCTGGGCAGCAAACAGCCAGCCACTCCAGGCCGATGGTAATGCCAGCAATAAGCCAAGGGGTCCCCACCATGTCAGGCTTCAGTCAGCCCGCGACGCAGCAAGTGCCTGGTGGTAACTTTGCTCAGAGCAGCCAAGGCCAGGCCTATGAGAGGAATCCCACTCAGGACATATCTTACAACTACAGTAATGAAGGAGCAGGGGGGTCGTTCTCCAGTTTAGCAGAGGGTGCAGACCTTGTGGATTCCATCATTAAGAGCGGACCAGGGGATGAGTGGATACAGGAACTTGATGAGTTGTTTGGAAACCCCCAGTGAATGGGCTTGTATAGTCTGGAGCTTTGGTTATTATGTTTGGAAAAGAAAAGAGAGAGCTGGATGTCCTCCTCATCCTTGGGTTCTTGATTTTTTGTTTGAACTGGTTTGGTTTGGGGTTATTTTGTTTTCTTTTGTTTTCAGTTGTGCAAACTGAACTGCTCTGTAGCCAACTTTGGAAGATTCAGGGGATGATGAAAATACTGGCATCCCAAGACTTCCACCAAGCAATCTCTGTTGTGTGGCAGTGCCCACTCTGTGTGTGTGTGTGTGTGTGTCTGTGTGTGTCTGTGTGTGTGTCTGTGTATGTATGCGAGACAGAATGGGGACACTGGAATAGCCAGCTGATGCCTCTGGTTGGGAAAGTGGTTCCCCACATAAAATGAGGCTTCATTGCAGGGTGGTATGGGGTGGTCTTGACATCTCCCATCTCATATAACTGTGAATGCTACAGCTTTCAGGGGAGCAGATGAAACAGCTAGGAGCAAAGCCTGAAGATACCCATGGGTGATTGCATAGACCCTGGTTGGAAATGAGCTTAACATCAGGGGTAAGCAGGTCTTGGTGAGCCACGGCCAGGTCTGTGGCTGCTCTGGGCTGCCCAAAGGGAACATGCAGCACTCGTGTGACAAACCTCAACAATCACAGGGAGCTCACCATTTTCACTGCAGAGTGATGAAACTTCAATACAAGCACAGAGAACACAAATTTAGCAGTGTTGTGAGTACAGTTTGATTATGAGACTGGTGCTGGGGACAGCCTAGGTGGATGGGTTAACTTAATGAGCTGCTTAGTCATATCATAGAATCATGGAATTTTAGGGGTTGGAATGGACCTTAGAGATCACCCAGCCCCAACCCCTGCCCTGGGCAGGGACACCTCCCACCAGAGCAGGTTGCTCAAGGCTCATCCA